CAACATTTTTGAAATAAATAAAAAAATGTTGTACCTGGAACCTTCAGACAATTTCCTGTGTAATCCTCATATTCAATCCAAGAAGCTTCATCTTTGCCAATTGGATCTTTCAATAACTCAATTGCACAAGTGTGGCAATCCTGATTACTGTTTATCAGTTTGTGGGGAAATCAAGCAGGCTAGTGATTGTAGAAAAACAATTGGACTTGTCATTTATATTTTCATATCAGTAATATTTTATAATGAATAAATTTTATATAATTTTATGCAAGTAGAGTTTATACTTTCGTATACATAACGATTCTCACATTGGTGACCTACGACGATTGAGATGAAGACAAAGAAGCAGTTTTATTTTTTGAGGATTTAAGAAATATAGATTTTGACGCATCACCATAATCACTCGTCTTCAGAGACGACTTATAAGGTACGTCCAGTCCTCGGTTCATCATAGTTAACGCACTTACTACTTGAACCGAACTTTCGTGGTTACCCATTTGGTATTCCCAGATCTCAGTGTTTATTGCTGACACAAAAAATAATTTGGAGCCTAGTTATCTGCTTCTGAGTCACAATGGCCAGACTGTTGTACAGACTACTACAGTCAACATGACATCAATTAGAACCATCGATGATGACGATTGCGATGGCTGATGGGGAGTATAGGTAGCCACGCATACGCTGAGCAACGCTAAGAAAGGGTTTACGTCAAAACCCGACGCGACGGACCTTATATTATACTACAGAAGAGAGGCCCGACCAGCCACGAAGTAGGCCGCCCCGATAACACAGATGAAATCAGTATCAGTATAAAAAAAACTCTACGGCTCTTACATGTTTCATATCTCAGTTCAAATAACTTTCTAAATCGAATAAAAAATTAACAACAAATACCAACAAACATATCTTTTTATTACGCTGTAGGAAGAAAAGTATCATTTCAAATTTCTATCGCCTTAAATTAGAAAAATTCTTTCATTCTAACAAGAGTCTCAATAATAAATTCAGTTTTTTAAGTTCAGCTATCATTAAACTAGAAATCAAAAATTGTATTTGCAACATACAAAATTTAAAACTTTTTATTAATAAAATTAGTAGAAGCTGAAATCCTGGAAAGTTCCTCGAGTTTGAATCGATTAGCTATAATAGCTTTGCGTCAGCCAAAGTTGTCTTATAAAGACAAGTTGAAAGACTATTGCAATCTAAAATAAACTCTTCTAAAATTATCTTAAGGGATTCAATTATTAACACATGGTTGAAAAAATCTCTCTAATGTAACTATCTTAGGCAGGTTTTTATATATCTTTGCCTTGGGACAAAATTTTACTTTTCCCAATACTTGCTACAACATTAACTTCATCAAAATCCTCAGTCGTTTAGAATAAGGCCTTTATAACATTAAAAACGCAGACTCAAAAATGTTCCCCCAAGGTGATCATCATTAATTCGATTTTGACTAGTACACTTATTACTATTTATAATTGTAAATAATTGCTCGCACGATATGTACTGCCACACATTAGAGCAAATTTCTATTATTTTCAAATATGACTGGTAAATATTATAAAATTCAGGTACCCACTTCAATAACTTTGGCTTTCAAATTGAGTCACACTGAATTTCGATTACCTCCATTTGCACGTTGCTGGATACTGAAACTATATCTACAGA